TAAAATTAAAATATATGTCAAATTTTATAATTTTAAATATAAATTAATTATAAAAAATATATTTATTATATATTTAACTTGTACCTTAAAAAGTACAAGTTAGATAAATTCATTTATCATCTATAAAGCCTCTCTTGATAAGATGAGTTTTAATGTCCCAACCCTCCTCCCCCAACATAATTGTATGTTATAAAAATTCAATTCCCAAATCATAATTTTTCTAAGTTATTATCTCTCTATTTATAAAATCCATCATCTTACAAATTAAATGGTAAAATAATAATTTTAAAATTAAAAAATTATTAATATTAAAAAAATTAATTTTTATTTAAAAATTAGTATTTTTATAATATAAAATAATCTAAATTATGAAATAAATTTTTTTGTTATATATATATGATTTAACAAGTTTTTTTTTCTTTCTAATTTTCATATTTTTTACAAAAATCCCAACTTTTTCAAGAGAGAGAAAATGGGTCTATAATGATGGCGGAGAGGATCCGCATGGGACAAGGCAGATGCTCTTATCCTCGCCTCTCTTTCCCCAAACAGCTCCTTAACACCGCGGTATTTCCATACATATATTTTTTCTTTATTCCTACTTTCCAAAAATAAAATCTTCAAATTTCCAAAATCATCCCTAGACATCCTTACTATTTACCACCCCTACCTCCCCTAACGGCCATTTACCAACCACGGGCAATTTCGTCCTTGACCAAAAACACAACTTTCAGACACCATGAAATCCCCAAATTACCCATAGAAAAACATTATTTGAAGGGTAAAACGATAATTTCGATGCGGTGTAGCGGTCGGGCCCATAAAAAAACGAAGGAACGTGAGTGATCCGCGCAGGCACAGAAAGTTCCTCTGTTTCGAGACGTAATCGGACTTCAAATCGGGTACTCGCCGGAGTTTAGGAATTCCTTTCACGTCCGGCGTTGGGGTTTTTCTCAAATTTCATCCAGGGAGAATTCCGGGTGTTTCCCTTATTGAGGCTTTGTTCTGGTTCTATATGAAGTTGAATTTACGATCTCTTGCGAGTTCGGGAAGAATTCGGGAATTCGCGTGATGTTTACGCCGCAGAGGAAGGTCTGGGCGGGTTGGTCGCCGACGCCTCACAAGAAGGGGGACGGCTCGGCTTCGAATGGGGTGAAGGATGGGACTGGTGGCGGGAGGGGCAAGGAGTTGGCATTGGCTGAACCCGTGACGCCAATTGGAGTTGGATCGGACGAGCCTGACGGGTTGCCAGAGAAGGTCTCTAGGCTAGAAAATGAGGTTTGTGAATTCTGTTTTGAGTATTTTGCCTTCTTGTCCTGTCTCCTAGTGCCTTGGTGCTTATGATTGATGGGTTTTTTTATATATAATTTTTTTTTTTTATGAAATAGTGTAGATTACGCAATTATTTGCTGTGTTCAATTATTTTCTATGTTATTTATGATGTTTTAACTTATTTATGTTTATCTATTTGAATCTTTTTGCTTAGTTTGCTGAGGGTTTCAGTCCTAATTTGCTATGCTTAATGGGTTTGTTAGTTTGCCTACACTTATGTCACTACCCACCTTATGGCAGCTTTTTGAATACCAATACAACATGGGGCTTCTCTTGATTGAGAAAAAGGAGTGGACTTCTAAGTATGGAGAACTCAACCAAACATTGTTAGAAGCAAAGGAAGCCCTCAAACGTGAAGACCTTGCACATTCAATGGCTATGGAAGATGTTCAGGAGCAGGAAGAGAAATTGAAGAAGGCACTGGGTGTCGAGAAGCAGTGTGTGCTTGATGTAAGTCTAGTTTTCTGTTTTTCATCTCTATTTATCCTCCCCATATAATTTTTTTTTGGGAAAATCCCGTGGTTGATGACTGTGCTTTGCGTTGTTTTGCTCTCATCTGCCATCGACTGTTCCACCAAAGTCTATGATGCATAGTTTTCTAGAGAAGTGAAAAGATAGTTTGGCTGCTCTCTTAAAAAGGATACATTTTAGCTAATTTTTGAATGTTGTGACCAGATTATGATGTGCGTTTAGTGTTTTTTTTTTTTGTTGTAGTTCATGGGAGCAAAGTTTGTGTTTTAACTGTGCTGAATGATTAATATTTGGATAATTTGATTGCCACAGCTAGAGAAGGCTTTGCGTGACATTCGTTCAGAATTGGCAGAAACCAAGTTTACGGCGGATTCAAAGCTCTCAGAAGCAAATTCTTTGATTGCTAGTGTAGAAGAGAAGTCATTAGAGGTGGAGGTAAAGTTGCGTGCTGCTGACGCTAGGCTTGCTGAGGTGAGTAGAAAGTGTTCAGAGATTGAGAGGAAGTCACAAGAGTTAGAGTCTCGTGAAAATGCACTTCGAAGGGAACGCTTATCCTTCATTGCAGAGTATGGTCATGACTTCTCTTTTAGTTCTTTTATTATATACCTTTATGAATTATACACTCTTGGAATTACTTGCTATTGCTTACTTTTTTTGGGGGATAGTTGCATTATTTGACATCTTAAGCTTATGAATTGCTTTCATTTCTTTTAGACAAGAGACACATCAGAGTTCTCTGTTGAAACAGAGGGAGGACTTGGTAGAATGGGAAAGAAAACTTAAAGATGGAGAAGAAAGGCTAGCCAAAGGTCAAAGAATTGTGAGCCAAAGAGAGGAGAGGGCAAATGAAAATGATAGGATTTTCAAGCAGAAAGAGAAGAGCCTCGAAGAGATACAAAAGAAGATTGATGCAGCTAACCTAACTTTGAAGGAGAAAGAAGATAATATAAAAAATAGGCTGTCAAATTTGACTTTGTTAGAGAAGGTAATTCATTATCTAGTGTCTTGTGTTCTTAGATATGAGATTATGATTTACTTTATTAATCTTCCTGAGTTGTATGCAGGAATCAGATGATCTTAGAAAGAAGTTAGAGCTGAAAGAGAAGGAATTGCTTGCATTGGAGGAAAAGCTTAATGACAGAGAGAAGGTATGTTCGTCTAGTTTTTCCTCATTGATCTATTTGTATTAAACAAAAATCTTATTTTAAAGCCATTCCCTTATCCCTACAAAAGAGAGGAACAAAGAATAGAGAATGTTTTTTAAGTGTTAAGAGGTGGGTACTATTAGCAGTAGTTTATAGTTTATTATTATTATTCAAGGGATGTATCCTCTTATTCTTTCTTTGTAATTGAAGTATCTCCTTTGATGAGATTGGCCTAGTAAAGAGCTTAATTTTGCCATCATGTCATGTAAGGTAGTTTATTGCAAGGCTGTAGTCTTACTATTATTATTATTATTATTATTATTATTATTATTATTATTTTTGTTATTTCTTTCTTTTTCTTCCACACTTTTCTTTTAGGTGTTTATTTGGACTTGTTACCAGTAGTTGTGGTTTAAATCATAAATTGAATGCTTCCCTGTTCATTGAACATTGACAGGTTGAGATTCAGAAACTTGTGAATGAACATAATGCCATTCTAGACCAGAAGCAGCGTGAATTTGAGTTAGAAATTGAGCAAAAGAGAAAAGCCCTGGATGCAGATCTTAAAAGCAGGGTGATTGAAGTGGAGAAGAAGGGAGCTGAAGTCAACCACAAGGAAGAGAAGGTTGCAAAGCGAGAGCAGGCATTAGATAAGAGATTGGACAAAGTTAAGGAAAAAGAGAAGGAATATGAATTAAAATTGAAAGCTCTGAAGGAAAGAGAGAAGGCTATTAAAATAGAGGAGAAGAACTTGGAGACAGAAAGGAAACAGTTGCTCGCTGAAAAAGAGGATCATTTGAGCCTTAAGGCTGAAGTTGAGAAGATCAGGGCTGAAAATGAAGAACAGCTATTAAAGATAAGTGAGGAGAATGACAAGCTTCGGGTAACTGAAGAGGAGAGATCTGAGTATCTCCGCTTGCAATCAGAATTGAAAGCAGAAATAGAAAAATGCAGGCATCAGGAAGAGCTGCTTTTGAAGGAAACTGAGGATTTGAGGCAGCAGAAGGAAAATTTTGAGAGAGAGTGGGAAGAATTGGATGGGAAAAGAGGAGAGATTGAGAAAGAGGAGAAGAGTTTTAGTGAACAGCAGGAGAAGTTTGAAAAAGAGAAACACACTGAAGAAGAGAGGTTAAAAAGTGAGAAGCAGGTGGCAGAAGAGTACATAAAAAGGGAGCTGGGAGCTCTTGAAGTTGCAAAAGAGTCATTTGCAGCCAGTATGGAACATGAACGGTCAGTAATGGCTGAGAAAGCTGAAAACGAGAGAAGCCAAATGCTTCATGATCTTGAGTTACAGAAAAGAAAACTTGAAGGTGATTTGCAGAGCAAGCATGAGGAGATGGAAAAGGAATTGCAAGAGAGGAAAAAGTTGTTTGAGGAAGAAAAGGAGAGGGATTTAGACAATATTAATCATCTGAGAGAGGTTGTTAGGAGAGAAATGGAAGAAACTAAGCAGGAAAGACTTAAGATACAAAAAGAAAGACAAGAAATTGATGCCAGTAAAACGCATCTTGAAGGGCAACAAATTGAAATACGAAAAGACATTGATGACCTTGTTGAACTTAGCAAGAGGTTGAAGGATCAAAGGGAACAACTTATCACAGAGAGGAGTCGCTTCATTTCATTTGTTGAGAAACAAAAGAGCTGCAATAATTGCAGTGAAATTATCTCTGAATTTATGCTTTCTGATTTGCAATCATTACAAGAAATAGATAATGCTGATGTCCTTCCGCTTCCAAGACTAGCTGATGATTATGTGAATGCCAGAGCTCATGGAAATTTAGCTGGATCTGGGAGGCAACAAGGTGAGATGTCTCTGGCTGTTGATTCAGGATCTCCTCTTTCAGGTGGAACCATGTCGTGGCTGCGTAAATGCACTTCAAAGATATTCAAACTTTCTCCTGGCAAAAAAGATGATTCTCATCATGTGAAAAATTTGAAAGAGGATTTTCTCTCTGGTGAACAAGTTGAGGAAGAAGCGTCAAAAAGATTGGGAAGTACTGATAATGGTCAGGAGCTGTCATTTGCCATTGTTGATGAATCTTTTGATGCTCAGAAGGCCAAATCTGACACTAGCATGAGACATGTTGATACTCCTAAGGATCAATCAACTGATGATCAGAGCAACATTAACATTAAGGTGGCAGAAGATCCAGGGAATGGTCAGCCTTCTAATTTGAATAGTGGTCAACAGCCTCGAAAGAGAGGCAGGCCTAGAGTTAATAGAACTCGCTCTGTTAAGGCAGTTGTTCAAGATGCTAAGGCTGTACTTGGGGAGGCTGGGCATCCAAATGGAATTGCAGAGGATTCTGACAATGTTGACAGAGAAAGCCGAGATGAATCTAGCCTTGCTGGTAGAGGAACATCAAGAAATGCACTGAAGCGGAACCATGCTCAAACATCTCAATTTACTTTGAGTGAGCAAGCTGGTGATGATAGCGATGGGATTTCTGATAGTGTTACAGCAGGCAAGCGAAGGAACACGAGACAAAAGGTTGTTGTGGCTCTCGAATCTCCTGGCCAGAAAAGATACAATCTCCGGCGACCCAAAGGGTAAGTTTTTGAATTTTCTGACTAGATTTAGGTGGTTGATTCTTTTTCCTTGGCACAACACCTGCTTTCTTTGATTTTGCTAAGCAAATAACAAAGTGACTTTTCTCCTGTGGCTATCAGTGGAGTGAAAGTTGCCAAAGCCTCATCAGACAGCAACAGGGAGAATAGGGGACTTGCTGGGGATCAGGTGAATGAAAATGGTGGAAGCAGAAATGTTCCACAGGTAGGGGCTTTAAGATATTCCCTTTATTTTATATTAATGTTTATACTAGTATATCTTCTATTGATCTCTAGCATAATCTGTCAACAGAGATTTTGAATCAATGATGTTTTGTTCAAAATTTCTATTCACTTCTCAGTTTCCTCCTTTTGGCAAATGGTTGGATTGATTTTCACTAGTCAGGGTAGTTCCTTATCTGATCATATTTATGTTTATGTGAACAGTCTGAGGCTCAGGATGGTGATCCTGATTCAACAAAAAAATTGGTTGAGACTGTAGCATTCAGTGAGGTTGATGGGACCCCAGAAGGGATTGGAGAGTATGTTGAAGGAGACTACCATAGTGAATCCCGCACTGATGGTGCTGGTGGGGATGAAGACGATTCTGGGGATGAGGATGATGAAGAGGAAGAGTCCGAGCATCCAGGCGAAGCCTCAATAGGAAAGAAGCTCTGGAAATTTTTCACCACATAATAGTCATGCACTGAATCCCGTTTCAAGGTGTACTGTTACATCAAACTTTTTTCGAGATTTGTTGGTAGGAGCTTTTATCTCCACTAGTAGGTGTGTAGTGGCAATTTAAATGTAGCTGTAGCCACATAATCTTGATTTAGGTGGGGGGATTGGGTTTTTCTTCACCCTCATATCTTTAGTTAGATTCAGAGAGTACCGAGGTTTCTCATTCTTCTCTTTTGGTGTACCATAAATACAATAGTTTCCTTTCTTTTTTTCATTTTGGGTATTTCGCCATAAATACTAGATGATCTGATGTATTAGCATTTACCAGTGTATGGCTAATACTGGAGCCCGCTCCCCGTCATCAAAAAATTGTTTGTATCAAATGCTTAAATCTTTGTGGGAATGATTGTTTGCATTTTGTAATTTATCAATGTCTATGTTAAGATTTCGTTATAAGAAAATGTAAATTTAAATTTAAGGTAATGGGTTATCCAACACGTCTCATTAAATAAAAAGAACAAATCAAAATTTATGCAGACAATATGGTATGTACTCCCTCATCAATTCTTATCTGAAAATTCTGCTGCGCCTATCTTCGTGCAAAAAAAAAAAAGGAAAAGAAAAAGAAAAAGAAAAAGAAAGAGGAAGACAAAACCCTCAAATTCATTTTTTTTTTAAAATACTAGAATAATTATCTTTACAAATTATAAATTAAGAGAAATAATTTATTTTTTAA